GTTGGCTGTGGAAACAGAGGATGTGGACCTGGCACCAGCCTCCTGTGATCCTGGCTAGGCCCCATCACACCAGGCTCTCTCTTCTTGCTGGAAACAGCCAAAAGCAAGTGAGAAATTGCTTAACCCAGCAATACATTGTTGGATGATTTTGTGGCTGTGTGAACATCAGAGTGTGATTACACAAAGGGAGAAGGCTACGACATCACTAGGTGATATAATCTTCTGGAACTACAACCATATATGTTGACCATTGTCGACTAAAACATCTCTGTGCAGAACATGACTGTGTATGGTTGTGTCATGTATTCTGTACACAGGTACAGATGTGTACAATAGATACTCAGTAAATTTGTTGCATTGGAGGAAACTGGATTGTAGAAGTGAAAAGAAACAGGCATCTGGATTGATTCCTTGTGTTATAAGGAATAGAAAAGAAGAGGGAGGAAGGAAGGGAAGGAAGAATAGAAGGGAAAGGGTTAAGAGGAGAAAGCAGACTGGGTGAACAAATAAATGTACTGGCTTCATGTGTTTGGGTTAAACTCTGAGGTCCAGCATTTGAATTAAGAGTGGGAGGCAACACATGATTCAGTTCTATCTATCTATCTATCTATCTATCTATCTATCTATCTATCTATCTATCTATCTATCTATCTATCTATCTATCTATCTATCCATCCACCTATCTATCTATCTATCTATCTATCTATCTATCTATCTATCTATCTATCTATCTATCTATCTATCTATCATCTGCTTATCATCAGTACTGGGGCTTGAATTCAGAGCCTAGCGCTCTCCCTCAGCTCCTTCTGCTCATGGCTGGCATGTTACCTCTTATGAATTTTTTGTTGGTTAACTAGAAATCAGAGTCTTGAGTATTTATCTGTCTACTGTAGCCTCAAATCAGGATTCTCAGACTTCACCCTTCTAAGTAGCTAGGATTATAGGCATGATCTACCAACCTTTAGCTTTGTTTTTAGACTTAAAAAAAAATGTACCTATCAGCCCCTTCTACTTCTAGTTGGCACTAACTTTTACCCTATTAGCCCTGTATATCAGTACTATGGACACATAAATAAAGAGCTATCATTTGTAAAAGCATTATTAAATTTATGATACTCTTAATAGAATTAGATTGCATCTTACCATCAGATTACATCCTTACCCTTCACACCTCAAACTGTGAAAAGGGCCTCTCCCTAGGCACAGCTCAGGCTCTGGGGCTGGTTCTATTTATAGGCTTACGCCAGAGGCAACCCCAGTGTGGCCAGTGCTCTAGACTCTGAAACAGGAGCCTGTAGCCATCAGGAACTGAAACTGAGTCAGAGGCCAAAGCAAACTGTGAGCACTGCTCTGATTTCCTTGCTGTGGGAAAGCAGGGGCTAGGAGAAGCAGGTCACTGGGTCGTACTTCTCCAGCATGGTCCAAAAGTCCTGCTGAGTTAGGGCCATATCAGTGTGTGTGTCTGTGTGCTGGGCGGGGGGGAGGGGGCAGGGATCCTACAAATGCAGCTCATCTCTCATTCGCTACAACCCTAGATGACTCATTGTTCCGTCGTCCTAGTGATCCAGTCAGGGTCACTTCTTCCAAAGGCCACATTATTGGCAGGACTTTCTAACAGGGGCATCCTGACTTTTTGTAAAAGGCCAAAGTCAACAACCAGAAATTCCTTTTTCTGATTTGCAGGAATAATGGCCAACTGTTTATCAAACTAAGACTGTACTTAATGCTTTATGGCTATTTCTCACTTAATTCTCCCAACCCTGGAGGTAGGTAGTTATTCCCATTTTATAGAAGAAGATAACAAAAGGTTATGAAAAGGTATAGGCCAAGTGCTGGTGGCTCATGCCTGTAATCCTAGCTGCTCAGGAGGCTGAGATCTGAGGATTGCAGTTCGAAGCCAGCCCAGACAGGAAAGTCCATGAGCCTCTTATATCCAATTAACCACCAGAAAACAGGAAGTGGCACTGTGGCTCAAAGTGGTAGAGTACTAGCCTTGAGCAAGAGAGCTCAGGGATAACGCCCAGACCCTGAATTCAAGCCTCACAAACACCACCAACAACCAAAGCACAGACTGGAACTGGCTTCCTCAGCAGCACTGCCACTAATGTGCCCCCTTCCCAACTCCACATCTGGTGACCTCCAACCCACGGCTTGGAATTGGTTATGGTAGGGAGGTCATTCACACGATGGAAACGATCAAGCTGTGATGTCGGTCCCAGTCTCCTAGTTTTCTTCTTTCTTTAAATCACATGAGATCTGGTTGTAAATATTTCCCAGTTAGTAAGTAGGCAGGAGTCTCTCATTGTGAAGCTCAGATCCTTTCCAGTTTTTGTTTTAGTATGGGCTCTATCCACCAGTGAACCTTTGGGCTATGTGCAGAGGGCCTTTGAAAGCCATACTGCTAGGTGGCTCGTATCTATAATCCTAGTGACTCAGGAGACTGAGATCTGAGGATACTGGTTCAAGCCCAGTGGAGCAGGCAAATCGGAGAGACTCTTAGCTCCAATGAATGAGCCAGAAGTAGAAGTGTGGCTCAAGCAGTAGAGTACTAGCCTTACGTGAAAAAGCCAAGTGAGAGTACAAAGACCTGAGTTCAAGTCCCAGTATCAACACACACACACACACACACACACACACACACACACACACACACACACACACCACTGCTAGAAGCTGGCTGAACGCTGGCCCTCCCTGGGCCTCACAAAGGGTTCCTGATCACATCTAAGTGTTATTAGTAAACACATATCCAAGTCCTCTTTCTTGTCTGCTGGGCTAAAGATCTGACTTATAAGGGCTGAGTCAGCTAGAGACAGGATTTATGAGGTAATAATAATGTATTCTTCTCTATAGCATTTCTCATCTTGAAAGCATTTTATAGCCCTTTCCTAATTAGTCCTTGGCTACCCTCTGTGCAGGTACAATGCTTGAGGACAGGTAAAGCCAACAAGAAGTGTTTAAAAATTTGCAGAAGACCCTGGTCTACTGCCAGGCAACTCACTTCTGAGAGTCTCACATACCCTGGTGTTCAAATCCCTAGTTAGTGTCACTGTTGTTTAGTTCCCCTGAGAAAATCAGCCCAACTCTGCCTAGAGTTAGGGAGCAGAATTTAAAAAGTCACAGAACCAGCATCTCTACAACCAACAGAGAAACCTCACGGGGAAAGAAAAGTGATTTCCGGTGTGTACACTGTGACCACGCAGGCTGTGTGAGGTGCTGCTGGATTGGGAGCCAGCGCCTGGGTGCAGTCTTGACGCTGACACTGCTTGGCTAATGATGAAACATTGTTCACTTAACCTCTCTGATCCTGTTTCCTCTGCTGTCAAATAGGCTGACCTTTCTTTGCTGATATGCTAGGGTATCTATAAGTCTAGCCAGCTATACAGTGTGAATCCCTCGATCACACTTCCTCTACTGGCTGCTGCCACTGTGGAGTGGAGTGGCTATTGAATTAATCCAGCTGTTGACTGAACCCATTACACAGCCAGCTGCCCTCTACTGAAACCACAGCTGGAGATGCCTGTCAGATCCAAAGCAAGCCCTGGCTCCACTGGCTCTTGGCTCATCAGGAAGGAGGGCCAAACACATGCTCTTCCATGGCAAAGGTGGCCATGGAAGCTACAGGGCAGCGCGCAGCTTGGCACACTGCTGCTCTGGGCAGAGGGGCACCTTTCTGTGGGCAGCCAGCTGGCCATGGTCAGACAGATTCCAGTGTGAAATCACCCAGGAAAGGTCGTTAAAATCCAGATGTCCACTCTACAGTGCATATCATGGTTCAATAGGTCTGCAGAGGGACCTGCCTAGGAGTTCCTGTGGGATTCTGATGAGCGGAGGCCACGATCTGGTCTAGCTCTGTTCCTGTATTACAGAGAGGAAGGCACTAACTTAGCCATGCAGCTAGTGTGAGACAGAGTAGGGACATGGCCACAGGAATGGTCTGTGTCCTGCAAACTCCCAATACTTCAGGGCAGAGGCCGAGCAGCCCCAAGTGAGGACTCAGAGGCAGCAGCTCCCCAGCTGGCAGGCGGACAGGCTGGCTCTCTCTGGCTTCCTGGGAACATTCCTGGTGCCCCACTAGGGTGGAGTGCGGATTCCAGTATATGGCTCCTTACTAGTGCTACAGGGCCTAGATCCCATTTTCTTTCAGCTTCACACAGTAAGATGGGCTCCATGAGCCTTCAGGGGAACAAGGGAGGAAGTGAGAGGTCCAGCCAAGCCTGTGTGTGCTCTGCAGAGGGACAGGAGCTTGGCTTAGAAGACGAGGGAGCCTGGCGGGCAGGCTGGCTCTGGGGTAGGTCCTTCCTCTCCCGGATGAGAGCTCCTTCAGGGCAGAGCCATGCTGAATGAAATGGCAACCCCTTGCAAGACAGGTGTGAGGATGGCAGCTTGCTTGTGTGCAGGCTCGGGGAAGCTGGGGTGAAAAATCTGGCCCTCCATGCCTAGATTATTCCCCAGATTGCTAGGACAGTTTCTGGAGCTGCTGGACCTGGGTTCCTCCTGCTGCATAGTGAAGTGACAGGGGAGGGGGGTGGGCTGACTTGATGGGTCCCTAGCCTCTAGCCTTGATGTAAGTCTTGCTCAAGGATCTTCCCTGGTCCTGATCTTGGCTAGCTGCAGAGCTTTCAGGCCTCTGGCCAGATATCAGATACTCAGCAGTGATAACCCATGATCCCCAACGTCTGACTTTCAGGGAAAAGGATGAGGAGAGGGGAGGGAGGGTGAAGGCAAGAGCATACTTAGAACACTCTATCTACACTGGTGGTGCATGGGGCCTACATGGAAGCTGGAGGGCTAGATGGGGAGGAAGTGCTGGTTCCTGAGCACCAACCTGGGGTGTGGCGTGGTGGGTGGCTGAAGCCTGAATGTTCAGATCCCTTGAGGCACCTGCACGCACGCACGCATGCACGCTATAGTTTCAGGGGAAAAAGCAGCCAAGAATTGTTCAACAATACGACGTAGAAGAAATCTCGAAGACGAAGGCATGGAAGAAGGGTGCGTGTGTGCGTTTATGACATCTTACTTTTCCCTGGAAAATTACTGCATCCTGGTGTGTGAGTTTATTTCTTCCAGCTAAGAAATATAAGAAGGAAAGGAGGGAGCAACCAGCAGTGAGGGGTGTGAGGATTCAGCTGTAGTTTGGGCTCCAACACAGCGGGGCTGTCTGGGGCGTGCACAGCTGCTGCGTGAGCAAAACGATATCATGAAGACATTCCAAACGGCTTCCAGGAAGCGCCGTGTGCTCACATGTGTGTGGACCTGGGTAGTCTGGCTGGCTACCTCTCAACACTGGTGTTTCCTAGAGCTTTCCATTGGCAAACGCGGCCTCCTGGAACTGCGGGACAAAGGTTTTGAAATAAGCCCTGGTGGGAAAGAGGGAGAAAAAATTGTGGTTAGCACAAACAACTTGAATTAAAAAAAAAAAAACTGCAACTCAAGAGCTTTCAACCTAACTCAGAACAGTTGTTATTTATTGTTCATGCATCTTGGGTTGGATTTTCCTCTTCTGCTGATGCAAAGCCCTCTGGATTTTTCCAGGGAGGTACACAGAGCTCACACTGTGCTATCTCTCATGGATAAAGGGCTTGCCAATTCCATTAGGCTTCAGTGCACAGATTCCTCTGCCCTTCCCAGGACAAAGCCAGGGCCTGATCCAAGCCCAGGTCGAAGACAGAAAGTACCCATTCTAGTCCTCTCCCCTTCAGTATAGTGATCTGAAATATCAACAGGGTCATACGTTCCCCTCATTTGGTTCTTTGACTTCATATGCATAAAAAAGATCTAGTAAGCATTCTTAAATGATCCGTGGTTTGTACTGCTTTCCAAACACATACGCAGGCTGATCTACTGGCAAGCAAGTCAGGCTGGGTATTAAGAAAACCTTCCTCAAAGAGGTGGCTCACCCAGCAATGTCACCTTCGCAGCATACTGACGAGGCTGGAAATGCCCATCCCCAAGAAGACCTGTCACCCCCAGCACCACACAGTCTGTTTTACTTAGGATATGGTTCTAATAAGCCTGGTTCCCAGGCTTTGGCTCTCAGCAAAGCACCAAATTAGGCATAAAGAAGCTGACTGAAAGGCAGGAAGCAGGCTTGCCTAAGCAGTGAGAAGCAACACTACAGAGCCTTCCTGTAAGAAAAGGACCAACTGCTCAGGAATCAGAGCTCAAACAAGGGCTCTGTGGTATTGAGTAGGGGGTCCCCACAACTCAAATACCCCTGGGCATCTCTACATCAGAACGAATGCAGCTGCTGGGGCTGCTATCATCCTCCTCCACACCACGTCGTTTGAAACTCTTCTCAACTGGGTCGCATTCCAATGCTTGGGTTCTTTCTCCATTTAAGCCTGCACGCGGCCCCTCTGTAGCCGGTAACTGTTGGCTGTTCTCTCTAGAAGCCCTTTTCCTGTAACTTCTGGGCTGTTTCACATCACAGAACTCATGTCTCTCTTCTCCTCCCTCCTCCCAGACTCATGTCTCTCTTCTCCTCCTCCTCCTTGGGTCTGTCCCTTCCTGCCGGCTACTCCCCTCGGGCAGAGCAAGGTTAAGGTCATGGTTCCTTCAGGCTTTCAGCACTAGTGGCGGAGCACTCGGCCTGGTCTCCAGTGCTCCTTCTAGTCCCATGTGTGGACCTGCAGTCGCTCTGTCCTTGACCTCAGTTTCCTTCCCAGCCCATTTCCATGGCTCGTTAAACCCCTGCAGCCCCAAGATTCTCCATTCCTCCAGCACAGCCCTCAACGCTTTGTCCTATTCTCTGCTCAAATCGGCCTTGTAAAGAGACTGCTGTAGAAGTCTGCCTGTCTGTTCTGGATCCAGGCCTGCCCCAAGTTTCTGTTGCAGAAGATAGACTTCTTGGAGCGGGGTGTCTGTTACTGCCTAGTGAGGGCCTTTCCTCCTCAACTCTCAGTCCCATTCCCAGGGCCTCTCACGATCTGCCTCCAACTTACTAAACCCACCCCCTCATAAAAACCCAACCGCCTGCCGCAACTTGGCTCCATTATGTTTCTTGAGAAAGTGAAGGACCTTCTACCCAAGACAGGCTGGCACCCCACTGCACTTACCACAGGTACTGGGGCATGTCATGGGCGCCTAAGTGTACCCATGGCCTAGACTTCGAGTCATGGATCTACATACCTGCCGGCCATGTGACCACTTGCTCTTCCTCAGGTATGGTTTTCCATTTCTGGGCTATGCTCACATTTAAACCAGATGCCCTGTTCCCCACTCTTCCCTTGGCACCAGATGGGTTCTCTCCTGCATGCAGACATTATGTGTGCTTCTGGGACACTGTCCTCTGCATGGGTACAGTCCTCCCGCCAGGCCACTCTGCTGACCCCAGGAACACAGAGGGGTGCCCTCCTCTCAGCTCAGCTCAGCTCAGCTCAGCGTGTGGAAAACACTCAGGGAAGGTCATACTTTCATGATGGCTACTGGTGTGCAAGGAGCAGTACAAGCACACTCCGTATATACTGTTATACAGCCGTTGTTTTCTCAGACACAACCTCAAAGCCCTTGCCCATGATCTAGCAGGTTGCAACCTTCCTTAATGCACAATGGCAGGCAGAGGTGGAGGAAGGAACGCTTGATCCAGGGTTAGGCTGGTTGGCCACCCTGGGCTGTGTTCTTCTATGCCCACAGGTGTGAAAGGTTCACCCAGATGTGGTGCTTCCATAGGACAATGGGTGGCAACTGTCACTGCTGCTAAGACATGAGGGCTATCTCTTTCTTCTATTTCCTGTCAGTCTGGATATGTAGCTGTAAAGTCCAGAGGCCCCTCATCTGAGGGCTCGAGACAGACAGGCAGCTGCCAGGCTCGGTGGCCTTTGCTTTGCTGGCCAAGGGTACCGTGGAACAGGGCCACTCTGGCCACATTACAAGTGAAGGCTTTGGGGGGTGGCTACAGTGGGTCTGGTGAGTGATGATCAGCCCTGGGTGGCCACCAGCCAAGGGTATCCCCTACCACCCTTCTAGGTCTGAGGATCATTGGCCAGCACCCCAACTTACCAACTCTGTTTTTTTTTTCCCTTGGAAACCTCCAGGGGAAGGGGCTGCAAGCACTTTTTCCCAATACAATGGTCTTGGCAATAGGGAGTATGCTTGAGAGGTAAGCTCTTTCCTTTTCAGAAGTTCTAAAGTTCCCTGTGTGTCCCGGGCTTTCCCTGCCAGGGCAAACTGCACGCCGCCAAGGGGGAAGCATAGAGAGGGCTATTTAAAGCACGATGCCACCAGCTGTTTGCAGGATCGAGCAGGGCGCAGCTTGGATCCTCATTAAGTCAGTTCAGGGAGGGGGAGGAGGAGGGTGAAGGGGAAAATGACAACTGGCTCCCACCCATTTATAGATGTTTCTTAAGCACTGTTTTCATTTATTCCACTTTTTTTTTTAATCAAAGAAAATGGAGAGCTGCCCAGAGTACAGCTTGCTAATGACACCAGTTATCTGTCATCTTAAGAAAAAAAATTTGTGACCCAAAGACAAAGTGTATGGTAAGCTTTTGAAGTGTGTGCTGGGGCAGCGAGAACCGCTGGGCTCCCTTAGCTGGCCAGGGGATGCTCACAGGAGACACAGGCCTGGTGTCGGCCAAGCCCCTCCTTTTACTCACACTGGAAAGGAATCTATTTTTAGATCAAATTAGAGCTCACACTATGTCTTAGGACATAATAAGGCACTGACCTCGTCTCTGATCTCTGCCTTCAGAAAATCACAACCCACTCCAATCTGGGAGTCTCAGAAAGGAGAATTAGACACAGAGAACAGACCCCAGGCTGAGACCAAGTCAGGGCGGCATAGATACAGCAGCAGGGGCGGAGCCCAGGCTCTGGCACTCCAGCACTGCGTGGGGAGAGGCTCAGAACCTCTAATCCAGGAGTCAGGAGCAGCACTGCTCAGTGGCTCGAATTTCCTTGGCCTTGGGCCCCCTCTCTGGGCTTAGATCCCTCATTTACAGAGCTAAGAGTGGAGCCTGGTGCTCATGGAGGCTGTGGCCATAGTTGGTAGAGGATGGGGTCGGGGAGTGTAGGCTCTGGGGCCAGCCAGACCAGAGCACCACCCTGGCCATGCTCATTCCCAGCTGAATCGCTTGGCCTCTGAGGTCAGACTAATTGGGACTACCTTAAAAAAGGTTTGTGTGAGGATTCGATGAGATGGTATAAGGGTACACTTGGCATAGTAACTGACCTAAGAGATTTTCAATGGATGACAACTGTCATCCAAGCTAGGCATATGAGGGGGGAGAGAGATTTATAGTCTGTGGAAGTGACCACAATCTTGTATAACTGCAAAGGAGGGATTCCCTGTGTGGAGAAAGAGGGGCCCAGGGTCCTTGCCCTTAGTGTGTCCTCTAACTTCTGGCTCCTTGGATAGAGACTTCCTTTGCTACTTACTGTGTGGAGCTGGCAGCTGGAGGTACAGAGACAGCCACTCTAAGATCTGGACACTTAGTCAAAGCCATTGGGACATTATGCACCTTTTGAAATTCAGTCCGGAGCCTCTTGAGACATATTGGAGGTACCCGAAGGTGAACTTTAGCCAAAGGCACCTCTAGGCCCTGGCCATTTTTCTGCCAAATTCTGCTGGGCATGCTCCTTGGGTGCAGTTTTGATCAAAGGCTTGGTCAGACAGGAGGAAACTGTTGTTGACTAGAGGGGTATTTAAGTATTACATGACTACTGGCACTGGTAGCTCATGCCTATAATCCTAGCTACTCAGGAGGCTGAGATCTCATAAATACAGTGGGAAGCCAGCCCGGACAGGAAAATCTACGACATTTTCATCTTCAATTAACCACCAAAAAGCTGGAAGTGGAACTGTGGTTCAAGTGATAGCATTAGTTTTGAGCAAAAAAGCGCAGGAACAGTGCCTGGGCCCTGAGTTCATGCCCCAGGACAGGCACTGAAAAAGAAGAAAAAGAATCACACGATTGGCTGAGCAAGACAAGGACAAGTTAATTGGCCTGGTTCTCAGACAGACCTTTTTACTTTACAAAAGCCTAAACAATTGCCTCCTTCCAAAACAGGACTTGAATTCCTGAATTCAAAAATCCTTCCCCTTGGGCATTTGTAAGATGAGACATATGATGTTTTCTCGAGTAAGGCCAACGTGGTGGTGGTGGGTGAGCGGGGTGGAGCGGGGTGGAGTGGGAGAAGTGGTTCAGGGACACGACTCTCACTGTCAGGAAATCGACAACATATAAATCAAGTCAGAGGTCATTTTTGCAAATACAGGCAAGTTCCAAGCATCTAAGTCGCATTGCTTTTTTTTTTTTTCCAGTTTTATTCTGCAGCTGTGACTTCAACTGGCACATGTTTTCAATCAGCCCTATGAAAACCGATTGTGGTACGAAAATCAAAGCAGTCCTGTAAATAG